TTGTCTCTTTGTCTAGTTTTGGGATCAGGGTAATAATGCTAGCTACCAGGAATGACTGACAATAATCCTTGCATTTCAGTTATATTAAAGAGTTTGGGAAGTATTGACATTAGGTCTTTCTTGAATTTCTTTAAAAATTCAGTGGTGAATCCATTATGTCCTTGCCTTTTCTTAGTTTGTAGGTAGTTTTTTATTAATGCCTCAATTTTATTGCCTGTTCTTAGTTCAGATTGTTTAACATGAGTCTCCTCTTTCCTTCTTCTGGCAAGCTTTGCTGAAGGTTTCTCTGTTGTGTGCTTATTGTTTCTTTTTCCTTTCTTTCCTTTTTTGACAGGGTCTCACTATGTAGTTCGGGCTGGTATTAAACTCACTTTGTAGCCCAGGCTGGCCTTGATCTCACAGTGATCCTTCTATCTCAGTTCTTAAGTGCTAGGTATGGATGTGTGCCACCATGCCCTCCTTGTTCATTCTTTTGAAGAACCAGTTTGTTGATTCTTTGTATTGTTTTTTAAAATCTCTATTTCATTAACTTCTCCTCTGATTTTTATAATTTCCTTCCTTGTGCTAGCTTTGGATTTGTATTGTGTGTCTTCCAAGGACTTTGAGGTGTATCCTTAGGTTATTTATTTTGACTCGCTCTGGTTATTCTGATATGTGGGCATCCACAGCTACAAAATTCCCTCTTTGGACTGTTTTCAGTGTCTCCCATAGGTTCTAGCCTGTTGTATTGGCACTATCCTTTGATTTTAGGAAATGTTTAATTTCTTTTTTTGTTTTCTTCTGTGGCCCATTGGTTATTCAAGAATGTATTGTTTACTGTCCAGGTAGATGCAAATTTTATGTAGTTTCTTTTGGCATTGAGTTCTAGTTCTATTGCACTGTGATCTAATAAAAAACACGAGATAATTTTGATTCTTTTGTATTTATTTAAGCATTCTTTATGGGGTAGTGTGTGGTCTATTTTGGAAAAAGTTCCATGTGCTGCTGAGACAAATGTGTATTCTGTTGTAGGTGGAACCCTATAGATAATTTTCAAGTCCACTTGCTTATTTTTTTTTTACTTTTTTTTTTAACTATGATTGTGTTGATGCATCTGATCTTTTATGTCCAGTAGTGTTTGTTTTATGAAGTTGTGTGCATGGGTACTTGGTACATATATATTTACAACTGTTATCTCTTTCCATTGAATTGTTTCCTTAACCAATATGTAGAGACCTTTATGACCTCTTCTGTTGATTTTTCCATAATGTCCACTTTATTGGAAGATAGGATAGCTACTCTGCTTGCTTTTGGGCTTCCACTGTATGAAATATTATTTTCCACTCCTTTTATTTTTAGTCTATCAATTTCTTTTTGAAGTAAATTTGTTTCTTGTATGCAGATATCATTTTGCTTGTATTTAGCCTGCCAGTCTGTATCTCTTGATAGGGGAATTGAAGCCATTTATACTGAGAGTTCTGATTGAAAGGCTTTGATTTCTACCTGTCATTTCCATTATTTTTCTATTGCTGATTCCTTTATTTTTTCCCTTCTGCTTAACTCCTCACCCTGCTCAATGTATTCATTCCATCAGACATTTTGGCATTGTTGGCTTCATTATCTCTGTCTAGGATATCTTTGAGAAATTTTTGGAGTGCTGGTTTGGTGGTCATGAATTTCTTAATGTGCTCTTTGTCCTGGGTGATCCTATTCATCCACCAACTTTGAAAAATCATTTTGTGAGATATATTATTCTGGGTTGAAAGTTGTTTTCTTTTAGGTCTTCCCTCCAAGCTCTACTGACCTTTAGGGTTTATGCTGAGAAGTCTGCTATAATCAGAATGGGTTTACATTTTGTTTGCTTGTTTGTTTTTGTTTTGTTGTTGTTGTTTTATTTGTTTGTTTTTTAAACAGGGTCTCTCTCTGTAGTTCAGGCTGGCCTTGAGCTCGCTATGTAGCCAACGCTGGCCTTGAAGTCATGACGATCCTCCTGCCTCAGCATCCAGAGTGGTGGGATTGTAGGTGTGGGCCACTGCACCCAGCTGGGTTTTCCTTTATAAGTGATTTTTTTGTTTTGTTTTGTTTTTTTCTTGCTGTTTTCTTTCACAGATTTTAAGATCTGCTTTGTTTGGATTTCTCAGATTTTGACTATGTGTCATAGAGATGTTCTTTTCTGATCACAGGTATTTGGGGTCCTATATGTATCATTTTCTTGTATTTTGTATTCTTTCCCCATATTTGGAAAGTTTTCTGCTATGATTTCTGTGAACTTTTTTCTTGCCATTCATGCTGTCTTCTGACTTTTACTTTTTGCTGTGGTTCTGACTTTTACTTGTGAAGAGGTGGTGGAAGAGGTGAGTCTTCTGGTCTTAGTCTTCTTTGCATCATCTAGCAGTGGTTGGACCCGTTTTCCCTTACCTTGTTCACTTTAAGCGACCTCTGATGACACTGCAAGAGCATCAGCCCTGTCTTCTGGTTCTGACACTCTCTGCTTACACCAGTTATCTCTGCAGCTCATGCTTCCCACGGAATTGCTCATTGTCTCTACTTCTGCTTGGCTCCTTTTCATGGACTGCAATTCTTTGCTAGGCTAATTCATGTTTCAAATCATGCTGGTTAGCTCTGCTGGTTTTTTATTAATATCTTCTTTAAGTTCACAGATCTTGAAAAATCAAATCTGTTATCTATTTAGTTATATCATCTTTGAGCTCTCCAAGTTTCTTTGTTTCTTCTTGTAGTATTTCATATAATTCCTCCATTTGGTCTTTGATTTTCTTCCCATCAGTACTTCTTGGATCTGTTTTGGGGAAATTTGGAGTTTTTAAAGCCATTTTGATGCTTTCCCCTCGCCTCATGTTTCTATTCTCTCTCCTCTCTCTCTCTCTCTCTTCTTCTCTCTCTCTCTTTCTCTCTGTATGTATGCTGATGGTTGAGGATCAATTTGAGTGGAAAACTTTATTGCTAGTATAAATCTCTTTAGTGGCTTTTTTTTTTTTTTCTTTTCCAGCAATTTTTTTCTGTGTGTGTCTTTTTGAGACAGGGCCTCGCTATGCAGTTCAGGCCTTGAGCTCACTTTGTAGCTCAGGTTGGTTTCAAACTCACAAGGATCCTCCTGCCTCAGCCTCCCAAGTGCTGCAATTACAGGTGTGCGCCACCATGCCTGGCTTGGTATGTATCCACCTCTTTGTCCTGCCCAGTTTAATAGGATTGCACCTGATCATGTGCTGCAAGGGAAGAATCTTCACCAGTTATAACAAGATCAATAGATGCAACCAGACACCTATCACTTACATTAAAACTTGTTTTAGCAATTTTACCCTTTTATCAGGGCCTCTTAGTGATTGTACTGTCCTGCTGCTAGCCGAATGAGATGTGCCAGGGCGGTGGGGGTGAAGAGGTGGTGGAAGAGGTGAGTCAATAGGAAGAGAGGGACAGAAAGTAAGTATCGATAGGTTAAAGGCCGACAGGGGACTGGACTCTGTTGGAATTATTTCTACAGCTGGACAGAGGACTGGTGCTGAGCGTTTGTGACGGGGAGGAGGGATGATGGGGTGGGACATGGAATTAGAGCCGAGGAAGGCCAGGTGCCTCGTGCCTGCCTCCTGGCTGGCCATTGTGATCTCTTCTGACAGTCTTTCTCTCTTTTTTTTTTTTTTTTAAGAAAAAAATTTTTGGCTGTACTGGGGACTGAACTCAGGGCCTTTGTATCCCTAATCTTTTTTTATTTTTTATTTTGAGACAGGGTCTTGCTGAGTCCCTAAATTGCCCAGGCTGGTTTTGAATTCACAATTCTCCTGCCTCAGCCTTTGAGTGCAGATTACAGGGTGTGTGCTACCATGCTCAGCTGTCTTGTATCTTTCTTCTCTTTGTTTCTCTGTGTAATAAGCTCTTCTTGTCATTGTTTCTTTTTTTTTTTTTTTTTTTTCTTTTGTTTTGGTCTTTTTGGACAGGCTCTTGTTCTATAGTTCAGGTTGGCCCTGAACTCACTATGTAGCCCAGGCTGGCCTCAAGCTAGCAGTGATCCTCCTGCCTCAGCCTCCTGAGTACTAGAATGATAGGTGTATCCCACCATGCCCGGTCTCATTGCTTCATTTTCTCCTTCTCAGTGGTTCTAAATAACTTGACTATGATGTGCTCTGGTATAGTTTTCTGGTAACTACAGTTCATTGATTTTAAATTTTGGGTTTATGATTTTTACCAAGAAAAATCTCAACCATCATTTATTCCAGTCTTTTCTTGTCCTTCTCCCTCCTTTTCTGTGGTGTCCAGTTATGGATAACTTGAAATTATCTTCCAGTTCAGTGATACACTATTCATATCTTTTGTCATTTCTTTTTTGTTGTTGTTTTTTGTTTTTATCTTTTAAGGACAGGGTCTTGCTATGCAGTTCAGGCTGGCCTTGAGCTCACTTTGTAGCCCAGGCTGGTTTTGAACTCACAACAGTCCTCCTGCCTCAGCCTCCTGAGTGCTGGGATTATAGGCGTGTGCCACCACGCCTGGCTCCTTTGTCATTTCTTGCGTTTTACTTCTTGCCCGGTTTCTTTTGCTGGTGTTAGTTCACTACCTCCCTGTACTCGATCGGTTGTTAATCCCAACAAGTGCATTTTCCATCTCAAACACTGTCATTTTCAACTCTAGGAGCTCATTTTAGGATTTTCCAACAACATTCTCGGTCTCTACTTGATGTGTTACCATTTTCTATACCAATTTTCCCTTTTCTCTTTCTTTCTTTCTTTTTTTTTTTTTTTTTTACTTCTCAGTACTGAGGATTACGTCCATGGCTGAGCTACACCCCCAGTTCTTTTTAAATTTATTTATTTATTTATTTTAAATTTATAAATGTTTTTGGAGACAAGGTTTTGCCGTGTAGCCCAGGCTGGCCTCGAACTCACAACAGTCCTTCTGCCTCATCCTCCTAAGGGCTGGAATTACAGGAGCGAGGCATCACACCCGCCTAACTTTTTAACATTCTGAGGCAAATTCTTGTTAAATGGCCCAGGCTGGGCCCAGACTCGCCGTCCTCTGGCCTTAGCCTCTCAGAGTTCTGCGGATACTGGTGTGCGCCACCTGCCTGGCTCTTCTGCCTTCTGGGACGGACGGGTATGTTCGTAGCGACTGCTGAGCCCTGGTCTAGCAGCACCGTGTCTGTCCCTTCTGCCCACGGTGGGTCCTGTCTCCTGGATTCTCCGCCTGCCTGGTAAGCTTTTGCCGAGTGCCGGGCGGGGGCAGGAGAAACCCGGACTGTCGCAGGCGGAGGAGCGGCGGGCTTCGCCCCCAGCCCGCGGCGGGGCGCAGACACCCAGGCCCGGGCTGCGCGCCCCTCCCTCTGCGCGGCGGGAGGCGGACCCCGCGCGGGGCGCGAGCGGAGGGAGCCCGGGGTGACGCTCTCGCCTCGGAGGCGAAGGAGCCCGGCCTGCGGTGCGTTTTTCATAGCCTCGTCCCGCGGGGTGCGGGCTGGGGCGATCCGCGCGAGCTCGGGTTTCACGCTCCCAGCCGCTCCCCTGCGCGCCGCGCCGTCTTTTTCGGGAAATGTCCTCAGGGGGCGGGCGCGCAGGAAGATGACTGCGCAGAATGGAATGTGCGGCTGTCTCCGAGTGTCTGCCGCCCCGAGCCAGAGCCTGCCGCCGGCCGCCAGCCCGGGACCCCGCCCGGGGACGCG